ACCCCAGGTCTGAGGCCAGTCAGCACGTAGGAAGTACTCTCAGACCCGACAGGGATTTCCTCACTCAAGCCCTCAGAGGAGCTGTAGCTTAGCATGTAGCCATCGACTTCTGCCTTGGTGTGATCCCAGGACACCCTGAAGCTGGACTCTGTCTCATCTCGGGCCAAGAAGTTAGTAGGGGCATCCAGCTCTACATGGGGAGTTCTGGTTAGTTCAAACTACGAAAGAGCAACAATATATAAAGTGCAAACATAACAACAACTAAACACAGCTACCTCTTAAACATAACATTCAGCTACTTGGTTAGAGGGTAGAAACATCAAACTTGGATAAATGTGTTTGGAGGTGTCTGATGGTCTTTTTTGGGTTCTTCAATCAAAACAAGTGGTTTTCTTATGAAGAATATGAAAAATGTTTTAGAATAATTAATGACTATTTTTTCCTTAAGAAATATATGCGACCATTTTTTTTGTTTGAGGTCCTGAATCCAAGTTTGACATCACATCTCATTGTTATGTAAGCAGAGCTACTATAAATATACCATAAGCTATGTTAATTAAAGAACATGCAAACTACTATTTCAAACAAAAGATGGTGACAGATCGTTGTTAAAGATAAGAAAAACCTGAACCATTGATGTTGCTTTTCCAAAGCCATTTGGACTCCTTAATAATAGCTACTCTTCCACATGTTTTCCATTTTATAAATCAATAGGGGGTTACAATTGCTAACATCACCAGGAGCAAAGTGAGTTTCAAGCCACTTTAGATATTTGCTTCCTTGAGCACTCCTGCTGGTTGACGTATGAGTGAGCTTATTGAAGCTAACATGTCTGCTTCCCTCATCAACCAGGAAGAACCTGAAAGCTGAACACTTAATGGAAAAAAATGAAGATGTGTACAAAAACAGAAAAATATGGAAAGATACATCCGATATGTTCAACAAACACAGCAACTCAAAGGAGTTAATATTCCCCATGTGGCCAGAGCAATGGTGGCCTTGCCAAAAATCATAAACCTGCAGCAGGGCAAGAGTGAAAAGTCGGAACTCAAAATGTTACAAATGATATGAACATATTCATAATAATTACAGTGGTTTGAGCTGGGAGATTTACATTTAGCTGCTCTCCTTCTTAATCCCTGAGAAACATTTATAATATTGGCATTAAACAATCAAAGCAATACCAATGCGAGGAATATATTTGACCCTTTCTCTTTTCTTTACTGCTTAAAGACTAAGAGTCCTAAACGTTTTCAATTAGAGCAATTTCGAAATACGCCAGTCACTAATCAAAATCGTGTTTCCTCTGCCTTCCTTCAGAGACAAAAAGGCAAACAGACACCAACAGCTGCTAACCTTCAAAACAGCACAGATCAAGAGACAGGAGACACGGGGGAAACAACATTCCTGGCTTTGTTAACATAGCAAAATTCACTTAAACTTCTCTAAGACATTCAGCCCCCTGGTAAACTTAAACTACATTAAATGAGGTGTCGAGCCTAATTATGTTTAATAGCCTTTTTCAGGTAAATTCAAGATGTCCTCTTGGCACATTAGCTAAGAGGGGTCAGTGTGCTAAGTATTAATTTGGAAAATAATAATTTGCTGAAAATCTACAGAAAGAAGATCAAGGTGAAGTGATTGGTGAATTGCATATAAGAGCTGTTTGAGCTTCCCATACAGAAATCCTTAAGCAAAAGAGATACTCAAAATACATTTCCCTCCACTCACAGACTTTAAAGAAGAAAGAAAAGAAAAGGAAGCACGCTGTCTGGTATTTCTCCACTGGTTAACATGGGTTAAGAATACCGTGTAACTGTCACGTTTGAAGGGACGAAATCGTGACATCTTCACGTCTCCCAGCATGGTAAATCATCACATGTTCACGTCTTGCAGTGATACCGGGTTGCTTTTAACGTATTTGTCGAGCATTTATATAAACGTTATATGGATTGATTTTGGAGACACATGAACCAAGGTACCATTCAAAGTTTACCTGTCTCAGCTTCTGTTGAACTCTTCTTGCTGACTTTGTCTCCCTTGAAGGCCCAGATGTAGACGGTGTGGAGAACTCCAGGCTTCAAGCCGACCAGCCTGTACGACGTGCTCTCACGTCCTACTGGGATGTCGCTGCTGGATCCATCAGCAGAGGTGTAGCTCAACATGTAGCCCTGGATTTCTGCCTGGACACGATCCCATGACACTGTTGCCGTGTCCTCTGTTACTTCAGTGGTGACCAAGTTAGTAGGAGAGTCAATGTCTGAAGAAGAAGAAAGAGAAGTAAATGAATAAAAGACAAGCATGCAAGTAACAAATAAGGTGATTTTTCTTCATCAATCCTTCTATCTAGTCCATTCAAATTGGCAGTGGAAACTGTAGAAACTTCACATTTTACTCATTTTAACAAATAATTGATGTTGGGGTTTTGCTAATGAGGGCAGTCGCTATGGACTGGATATTTGTTTTTCCTGGACCAAAGATGACTTATTATGACCTACTCATCATCATCATTACAAACGAATAGGTTCTGCTGTGTTGGACCCACCCAGTTTAGGGGGAATCTTGAGCTTTGTCTTCTTGGCCTTTTGTCGCCCTTTATTAGTTTTTTTCTACCCTGTGTCAGCTAAGTGATCGTGTAGAGGAGTTGCTTTTCTAGTCTTCTTCTTTTGGAAAAGTCTTCACATTCTGCCTTCACATTTAGGGGAATGATAAAATGAATTTTACAATAATAAAAATGGGATTCAAGTTTGGGAACAATCGTGATCAAGCTTTAAAAATAAACCTTGATACTGGCTGAAACGAAGAGCGGTCTCCCGTGATAGAGTCTAAAGTTGTTGGCCCTTCCGTCCTCCCTCTGCGGCTCTACAACAACATCACCTGACTTCCTCCTTTGCTTCCCTTTTAACAACTACAGTCACCAGAGGGCTTTGTCAACTAAACATAAACATATGTTGTGAGCTGAAAGACTCAAGGCATTTCTTTAGAGGACAGTCTCGACTGTAGCATGGGGCAGGATGAGAATCGTTGAATGTAGATTATGAATACAGTATCATTAAATTGCTGTGTTTGGAAGTGTTGTGAGTTCAATAGAGAATCATCATTGTTGATCAAGAATGAACTACAAGACACTTTGAATATATTTCACTGATTGCTGTTTTCTTTTTTAATCATCTGACTGAGAGTGTTGCAGTAAGTCTGTTATCCATCTACTTTTTTTGCATAGCTACTGTGAACGGCAAAGGACCCAACGTCTCAGAGAAAGAGCTCTGTGGAGAACATTACTGACACACAACCCATGGTTTGGTCCTGATCATTGAGCTCCACGACGGAGCAGTTGGTGGTGCATGGGTGTTAGTCTGCCGAGGGAATGTCGATGAAAGCAAAGTGAGAGAGCAGCAAAGAAAGGGAAGGAGACAGCAAATAAAAGGGTCACAGAGGCATAGAAAGAGAGACACAGAGGAAGTGAAGGGAAATGTAAAAGCAATCATCATTTAGGATGATTCCTCTGTGGCAGCGGCTCAGTGGAGGTCAGTCTTGTGTCAGTGCGCAGTCTGCATCATGAAAATTGATTGATGATGCTTCCAGGAGAAGAAAGGAACCACGCAGCTGTCTACCTCTATACCCCCTCTCTGTCTCTCTTCTCCCGTTGTCACTTTTCCGTCCTTGTGGATGCACTGCTTGACAGTTTGTCATGAGCTTAACCACAGAAATAATTCATAATAGCTCCATTTTATTAGGGTTTTCCCGCAAGGCCAAGAAAATGAGAGGTCAATCAGTAGTCAAAGCACCTTGAGTGCTAACCAATGGTGCTCAGCAAGTGCCTGAAACTACATGTGCAAATTGCCAAGCATATTAGGCATCCATCTAAATGTTTAGTTTATTGGAATACTATACTTTAATAACGTGTTCTAAATCATTCTAACATCTATCACATGTTTTTTGGTCTGTTGAGATCACACATTTTCCGTTTTATACGAATATTTTATTGAGGAACTTATTAAAAAGTTGTGTTTTGTTTCAATAGCTTCCATGTCATGTGACCAAGTGCTGGATCGGTACAACGCACTCATTTTCATCTTATTTTCATTGGACTTCAATACTGTCTGTATATTGTTATAATATACACATTTGTGGCCGGCTGAATGTTTACACAGACTGTGTGCTTTTTACTATTACACCTCATAATTTCACACACCAGAACTGTGAGTATGAAACACAAACAGGAGCATAGGCCACCAGGCAGATTTTATTGGCATGTTGTAATTTTGGCAGAAACTGCAAAGTAGTTTTCTCACATTCTAGTATAAATGTAATTTCAGTGGCCCTAGCAGTAGGTTAGAAAGAAATGTACATGCACAGTCCAATAGGCAAGTTGTTGGGTGAGGTCGGGCAAAACCTAGCCACTTTGTCCAAATGTCCAAAAGAAAAAGAGTTTAATCACCATGAAATATTGCCTCCAACCTCTATCGTGATACTGTTTTTCTATACAGCCAGACATCGAACAGAGCTTTCTGGCTATAATCCACAGTGAAGGAAACACAACACTGAAAACAGCAGACCGCTTTGACAACCATTGATACATTGTAACATTTGTACCACAAACACTGATTTTCTGCAGTAAATCAGAAGAGAATGAACTCTGCTTTTTATTTTGTAACTTTAAAAGCAAAGTGATGCAACAGATGTAATCTTATCCAATAAAGTTAGTTTAATGAAAGATAAACTGAAGAAATAGTGTTCTTTTGCGTTTTATCCGTCTCTACAAATTAACTTAAATTAGATTTTTAAGTAACCATCTCAATAAAGTGTGTACATAATGCCTTGTTCTCTTTCAAAGTAAATGTTTGCCTCTTTGTTGTGAAAATAAAGTTTTGTAAAAAACAAACAAACAAATTAACAAGACAAGCATGTCGTTGATGAGGAAAATGTATGCTAGAGGGGGTAGGACGAGGAAAGTTTTTTTAAAGCTTCTTCTTGCCCCTGTTGAACATGACAGAGACTATTTGAGAATGTATTTCTTTTTTTTGTACTTTGTTATAATTATTATGAGTGAGAAAAAAGAAAAAAAAAGAACATATATATATTATTATTATTGTTGTATGTTTTGTTTCTGACATGTTCAATAAATTGACTAAAAATGTATATATTCTATATGCTATTACTGTAGATCTTTTTCCAAGCACAGCTGCTTTCTACTTGCATTTGCTCTCGAACATTGTGTGATGGATTGAGTTTCTCCAGACGTTGTACTTCACTAGCTGTGCATCGACAGTGGCTACCGGGCTGCAGAACACGAGCTGTGGCTTTGGTGATTTGGAAAACAGCTTATCCATTATGGCATGTTCAGCAGAGGCATTGACCACAAGGCACAGTAACAGGCTGTCTTTCATCATTTACAGCCGCACCGTACTTTAGAGCCATGTGGGTTGGCGGATGTCGCCAAGAGGAAATTATGAGTCAATAGGTGCCATTCTTTTAGACACCACAGTATTTCAGGTGTTACTTATGTTTTGATGGTGAGCCCTCTGGCTCCCACATGCTTTTCATGGTTGTCCAACAATTTATTTGTACTATAAGTAGCTATTCATTATTTTTGACAGAACTGATCTGTTTATTTCACCACATCTAGAGGTGGAAGTACCATAGGCATGCCATTTTCACAGTTTTGAGAAATTACACCATTAGTTTTCATCATTAGACGTTTTTTTTCAAATGCAGATGTACTTGCTGTCTACTTACCTAAATGTATTAATATATCAATACCAATGAGCTGTATTACAGTAACCATAAACAAATGCAGAAATTGCATTTAATCCTCCAATAAAAGAGAACAGTATATCTGATGTGCCTTGGCCTTGTTGCTACATACACACACAAACAGGCCAATAGAGCTGTCTCTTTTAACACCAATATAATGAAACAAGAAAAAAGGGTCATACTGTAGTTTATTATCTCCATCAAATGTCTCTTCTCACATTTTCCCTTGTCATTTTATTTTACTGTACGGAGAAAATGCTGATAGACAAGTCTGAGCAGACTAACTGTGTATGTTAATATCATAACATACCCAGTCTGAGCAGACTTGTGAATCCCATCGGGCCACATGTGTTTCTTTAATATGTCCTGATAACATAAAGACTAAACATTCCTCTCGTCTAAAGCCGAGTCCATCTGCTTTTGGTTATATGTGCCTTGGTGGCTACTTTATTGAATCAGAATCAGCAGTAGCAGCCGTGGTATGTTGTGTTTTACGCCTTGTTAACTTTTGGCAGGTTAGTGAGTTTGAGATGGGTGTTTCAAGTTTGACTCTGGGGTTCTCCTTTACTGATGGCAGTAAAGAGGAGAGGATGATTTATAGAACCACATTAGATGCACATATGTGAATCAGGCAAGCCGTAAATATTTAATGTAGAGCCATTCCCTACAGACAATTCACGATACCAAGGCCATAATGAGCACCCTTAATAGCGTTGTAAATATTACATGTGTTCAAGTTTCAAATAACTTTGTCATATTGAAGAAACAACATAAGTGCATTTCCACATTGTCACATTAAATACATTTAAGTGGTTATTTATTACGTTTTAGGAGAGGGAAAGTCCGAAAAGACTTAAACAGGCAGATAAAGGAAATAAAATGGAGAAAGAATGGAAGACATAGAGAAGATATAGAAAATACTTTCCACAGTAGTCACAGTTATATCCTCTGTCGACAAAAGCTCAGTTTCATTTAATAACAGTAACTACACATTAATACATTATGCTTTGCTTTATAATGTCACTGAAATCGTTTCTCTTGGACTAATTCATTTTCATATCCTGTCTTAGTCTTGCACTTGATTCACCATCATTTCTTGCTGTAACTACCATTTACTGTCTTCTCTACTTAACTGCTTTTGCTCTTTTTTACATGAATTCCTCATCTTCCTTTTATCTCTTCTTGAATCCAACCACACTGGCCCATGGCAAACTGCATGTTCGGGGAAATAAATAGGTGAGTGTGGTTCCTGAAACCAGCGCATCCTCGCAGGCAAGCAGGGCTGAGGCCTATCCTCCTCAATCACCTCTAAGCCTTTTCATGCAACAGCTAAAATGAGGGATTGTAGCTACTGGAGTGGAGACAAGCCTCTCTCTGTCTGGTGTAGATTAGCACACACACACACACACACACACACACACACACACACACACACACACACACACACACACACACACACGCACACACGCATGCACGCACGCACGCACGCACGTACGCACGCACACACACAATTACGACACAGGTAGCACACTCACACATTGAAAGATTAGCATTGACAGGGGCCCTTGACTACCTGGCTGGCTTCAAAAGACCAAGGTGAGTCTTGAAAATACCAAGCTAGCTCTGATGACTAAAAAACATTAAATTGGCTGCCTTAGGGTCTAAAAACCGAAGAGCCATCGACCTGGAGACTGCTTTTGAACCAAGTAAGCTCTGAAAGTGAATGAGAACGGAGAAGGAGGGAAAAAGAGTAAGAAAACGTTTAAAAAAAAGTAAAAAATATTGAGCAGAATATTGGGAGAAACTGAAAACCTGTTGTGCCATTATGGACAATTGTATTGTCACTTAAACAATATCCATAGAAAAACTGAATGACAGTACCAGCTGTTAAAGTAAAGCTGTAAAATGAATTCTTCCACATGTCCTGAAAAACCAAATACTAAATTAAAGGCATCAAACTTAATGCCTTACCGCTAAAATCCAACATTACCATATGGAATCTGTAAATGATGGACCTTCAAACCAGGAACATCAGGGTAGTCGTAACATCGTTGATCTCATGTTTCGTCTTGGTGTTAGGCTCACCACAGCCATTAAGACCTGTCCAGGTTATGAGGGTGTAAATTCTTGCCCTCCGTCATTAACCCAAGATCACGCTTCTTGCTTGCTGTCATCATTACGTCATTATCATTGGCAGTGCATCAATGGTAATACCAGGTTGTTTCATATCGCATTTCAGCATTTTGAATGACAGATTATGTGTTTTTTCTATTTTTCCTAGTACATTCAAACCACTAGGGAATTACCAATTGACAAGAACTAAGAGCTGTATTTGAGGCTTCGCCCAATGCAGAAGTGGAATATGGATGTCCTCACTTTTTCTTTAATGTGTTTCAGTTCCACAAGTGGCTGATCCATCATTTGAAGTGTCATCCAATTCAGACACTTGGTGTAAGCACTAACGCAAATCCCTGCAATTTCCATTCAGCAGTAGACAATTGATCCCATTTTGTGCTTACTGATAACTTACATACATCATTTGCACTCAGTAACAGATTAGGGTAAATGGAGCATGGAGGGCGATGTCACTGACCTGTGGCTCCCGTGACGGAGGAAGGTTTTCCCTCAGAGGTTCCTTTGATGGCCTGCACTGATATCTGGTACTCTGTTCCTGGAATCAGACCTGCAGGAAAAAAAAAAATGTTTAGGGTGGTTGCAAACACTAAAGAAAACAAAACAGACAAAAAGGAACTGCGTAATTAAAATGGTAAAAATATCAGTTAGAGTATACATTGTTTTCATATTTCTGCATAGGATGATTGGAGAATATTGAGAGGTAAATGATCATCTAATGTTGGGGCAAACACAGCTAATGCACAGCCTCCCTTCCTTTAGGGCAGCTCTTTCTTTAATAATATCCAGCTAGCCAACCCTAGAGACTTAAGTCTTGTGTTCAAACTTGTTTCTCTGTCTGTTACAACACTTACCGACAATAGTGTGTTTGGTGCGCGCCTCTTGGCTCCTCTTGACGTTCAGCTCCTCCTCCTGTCCTGCTGGGTTGATGTGTGTGAGCCTGAAGTGATCCACCTCAGAACGCGGGTTCTTCCAGTCGACCTTGATGGAGACTTCTGTCTGGCCAAGAACTCTGATACCATCAACAGTGGAGACATCTGAGAAGGATACAAGTGTTGGACAGAAAGGTGGAACAGGGAGTTCAGACGTGACCCTTACACTGGAAAGCTTAAATTAAAACCCCTGTAATCACAAGCATCTGCTTTACTATACTCCCATGTCCTTGAGCAAGATGATGAATCCCTTTTACCCTGAAATGAGACCTTTCTAAGGAGAGAGCCATTCAGGATGTTTTGCCATCAGGAAAATGTAACAACAAAACGTGATATTAGAACATTTGTACATGGCTATATAAAATAAATCACATCTTGTCCTACAGAATTCTGTGGATAGTGTCTGCCCTTGGCATGAAAAGTGCACACTGTAGTCTCTGTATGAATAATCAAATACTAGCACATGTATATAATGTTGAACCGGAGACATTCTGAATTATATAGAAAAAGTATGTTAGTAATGCTCATTGTACATGATGTACACAATACACTCTATGTGACTCAGAGGTACTATACTAACTGTACCATTCTTAGACCGGGGTATTTAGGAGCATTAAAGGCTCTTTCAAACATATGCCATTAGATAAATATATCCGAAAAACAAAGGTTCCATTTATGATATTAACATACCCAGGAGGGATGTCAGAATCATAGCATATGGTGAAAATAGACAGAACAAAGTGTCAAAAAATGGAACCAAATGAATAGGGTAAGATTTTTCTTTGTATGCCAGCTATTGGGCTTTTCTAAAGGAAAAAGAAAAACATTCACTTAAACCCTCTTTTGAAGTAGACCATCGTTTGAAGTTGAGAACTATGCAACCAGTCTGCCTCATGCTGTGTACTCACAGAACCATAAGCCAGATGAGGTCGTGTTTTCTCATGCCCATTTGGGAATGCCGTGCTCTGTGAGTTTATTTTTTTTAATGGGTAACCAGGCTAACCACACATCAGAGTCAAACTCAATCTCTCCCTCTGTCCGTCTGTCTGCCCACCAATCCGGTCTAGTAAACTGTTGCTCTTCACATCTGTCTCCAGCACATCTGTGATCAAGTCCGATTTACATTAAACACATCCGTGTAGCCATTTCCTTGTAATTACCTTTACATTTAATGATGAACAAACCAATGCTTAATGAAACACTTTGTAATGACAGGCTTTAGCTTGTCCATTGCTTTCCAGCTAAACATTTCCGTGAAACACATTTACGGTAGGTTTAAATACAGGAAACTTCACATCTTGCACAAATCACTGCAAGTTGTTTAGCATAAAGGGAACAGACTGTCTTGCCGTGTAACTCTAGAAAATCTTAATCTACCCTGGCACATCAGTTTGTAATGGGTCACATACTATATGACTTTAATGCTACGCCACAGACACATTTAAAGGGCAACATGCTGCATCCAGCCCTGTTCTACTTCATCAGTCATGGATCTCAATCTGTGTCATGCTCATTTAATCAAAAGCCATTTTAAGGCGGCAATGTTGTTTTTCAGATGTACTCCTCTGTACTGTGCTTACCTGTGGTAGCCTCGAGCTTGTCTGCTTCACTTTGGATTTCTTTGATGACGGCATAAACTTTGACAATGTAAGTGACCCCAGGACTCAACTTCTTAATAAGGTGGGAGTTCTCTGTGTTGGGAACCTTAACCTAAGATACAGTGGGTTGAAGAAAAGGTGTTATAAAAGCAAGAAAATATGGTTATATGCTACTGCATTTATTTGACAAAGCTACACAGATAAAGAAAAAAAACAACATACTTGCTTCAGGGCACTCTCATCATCTTTGGGATGATATGTCAGAATGTAATACTCTGCCCTGCGAACTGACTCCCACTCAACCAGGAGAGAGACGTCGGTCAGCTGGACCAGCCGCAGACCCTGAGGGCCGATGACTGACAGAGGGAGACACAGAAAGAGAAAGGACACAGAGAGAAATGGATTAACAGAGGTACCACATTTCAATGCACTGTTCTATCACTTTGATCACGTCTTCGACTGCTTCACTGTAAACCTTTTCTCTTCTGTAATGTTCTCTATAACACCTGAAGTCAATTTATTTTATCACATCAAATCAGTATGAGAAAAAGTGGCAAAAAAAGGCTATAATGCAATTGCAAGCAAAAATAATTATGTTTTAGTTTTAATTCATATTTATTTTTAAACAGTATGAGATATAAATCCCCATACCTGTTTATCAAACTACAACAAACAATTCAACAATATTAACATTTTATTAGGAGAAAATATATATTTTTAAATATTTTTTACATTTGGCCCATTTAATACATTTCTGCTGAACTTTATTTACATATGTGAACTTTATTTAATCTCAACATCTACAACCTGCTTAATAAATATTATAGGTAAAATATCTCATAAACAACTATTTGGTTTCTGGTCACAGTTGGATCCATATTGACTGGTTAGACAGTGCATGCTTTACTTACACATTTAAATCCATAAAATGATCATTAAAGCAAGAAATCATAGAAACAAGCAATGCATTTTACGGAATTCTTTTTTTTTTAATCTGAGATAATCAGAGGAAAAATATAAATGTTCAGTGGTTATACAAGGCCAAAGAGAAGGTGATGATGGCAGGGTGCGGATAAAATTGTATTAAACTACGGTGGAGTATAATAATGAAAAAATCTGCCAAAAACATGAGACAGCGAGTCAGCAGAGTTGGGGAGTGAGGCTTTCCACAAACAAGTGAATGGGTGTTGAAGGAAGCAACCATAACTTTGGCAGGGAAGGATTTCACATCAAGTTCAAATGCCATTCCAAAAGCAAAGTCAGGAAGCCAAATGTTTTTTTTTCTCAAACGTAGCAATCCTTTCCATCCAGTAGCAGTTAATATCCCCCTGTCGCTACTCTAGACTCGAGCATCAACAGGTTTTACACTAGAATAATATTTAAGAACAGCTGGGGAGGATAAATTAACATATTAAAATTGTGAAAAGTGGAAACTAATAGTGATTTGTGTCTTCTTTGAGGAATTATTGAAATAACATGTTTGTACTTCTTATAAAGGCTATCAATCTGCAACAAGTGAGCACTAAGGAAGTATCACTGTCAAAATTGTTTGGGACAAATGAAATAGGTGTTCACTCAACTGGAACTTTGTGTACTTTAACCTTTTGCTTCTGTTTTTAAATATTTGACACTTCTCTTAGAAACTTCCTTTATCCACAGAACTCAGAAAAGTTGCCAAATGTGGTTTTGAGTTGAGGACATATCTCAAAGGGTACATTATGTTGACTTTAATCTCTTTTTTTTTTAGACAGTTAAAGGGGCCACTGTAAGAATCGTAAATCCAAAGCATCTGCATTGTGTTGAAATAGCTCTACAGAATGTACTCTCTTCACTTGACTCAAAGCGCTGATAATCTCAACCGCTTTGTGTCTAGATTATGTCATTGGAGGAGGCTGCTATCCTTTCCACTTTTCAACTCTAATGTGATGGATAGAGTTTTAGCTACAAAAACTAATATTTTCATTGTTAGATCACCACTGATTCTCTAAACCTGCATCTGCCTTCAATTGTGGGGAGAACAAAATAATAATGTTGAAGCTATATTAACATTGACGGCAAGGAACTACCGCTGCTTTACCGGAGGTTAAGTATTTTTCAATCCACACTTCAAAAGTCATGTCCTCACCAATGGAGCAGATTGACATCCATCATCCTGGTGCTAAAATGGAAAGTAGCCAAATAAAACAAAGAATGTCTCTTCTTCTCCTGTGGCGTATTACTACTATTATTACATAAGCTAAAAACGACACTATGTATATATTTTTTATTACCACCCACTTTCTCTTCCTCGCTGACTTTTCCTCTCACACAGGGCCATTATTAATGTTGGACTCCATTCAACATCAGCTACACATGAGCCTGCCTTTGCTGAGCGAAATACAGCTTGACGAAACTAAATCATCATGAAGAGTTTGACATAGCTGACCTGGCGGCTAACACGAAGAATGTGGTTCAGGAACTGAAATTGGTTGTTGAGCTTTTCTTGTGGTCAATCCACGTGTAGCTTACATTAAAATCTCCTGCTTAAAATATGTGCTCTGAGTTAAATGAAGAGGATAAAACGCCATAGACACATTACCAAAAGTTTCCAGTCCCAGAGATGAACACTTAAAAAAGCTACATTTTGAGCTAAACACCTGAGGCTGATTCTTCAAATGGCTGTCACAGAATGAACTGAGCAGATTGAACTGACCTGGCTGCTGCTGTGCACCTTTATGCTTGCCTGGCCTTAAATTGCCATAAAATGCAATTTCGCACTCTGCTCCTGAGGGCAGTACAGTAATAGCGTTTTGGTAAACAGTGCGTTAAGCAGGAAAGGTGATCATTCTTCATGGGGGTCACTGCAAGGTGGCAGTCAAGAAAGACTGATGGGTGTTGCTATTTTACAGCGGTAGTACAATACAAATTGTGACCTCATGTTATATGTTGTCTAGAGGCCATAGCTGTCAGGGGTCACAGGGTCAGCCCACTGGAAAAGCCCCATCAGCTGCTCTATCTGAAATAACTGTTGGGGAGATGCTTTAAATTCCCCACAACTAGGTCACCGTGGCCATCATCATGACTTACTTTAGTTTAGGTCACCATTTATTACAAATTAAGTAGGACAGACATTTGGCCAAGAAGACCGCTCTTAAGGGAGCTCAACGAGTTATAAATGATTATATATTTGAAAAGTCAACGGAATCAAAAGCCTCATAAGATAAGAAAGAGTTGGTGGAGAAAACAGTAGTAACCCATGTCATTGGTACAGGAGAGTTCAAATTCAGCGTTGCAGGGTGACACATTCTACATGTCACATGATAAAAACGGATGAAAATAATATAATAAATGGTCGATGAATCCCATTTAGCTACTTTGGTTTTAGGGCCCTGGTATAGTTTATGCTAGCTCACTGTCACACTGCCATGGCTTACTGTCATACAGAGCCATTATCAAGGTATTAGTACCCTTTTGCTTTTCATTAGAAATGTTCTTTTAAAGAAAAATACCTTTTGCAGTTGAATAACCAAGGATGGTGCAGCATGAATTACACAGAATAAAGCAGATACATTGAAATAAGCATGAATTGATTGCTCTTAGTCCTATACATGTATTCAGTGTCCTACTAAAAGTTTTTCGTTAAATGAAATAGGAAGGAAATGATCTGAAGGTGAACTGGGCTTTAAGGGCAAGTCTTGTATTTTTTATGGTCCCAGAGCTCCTTGTAGCATCTGTGTTTTTCCATAAGATGGCAGTTAACATTCACAGCTTAATGTCAGAGCCATAGTGGTGACTAAATAAAAAGACGAGGTGTGAATGCTAATCCTCAGAAGAGAAACAGATCAAAACCTGGGTCATTAAACTACACCCTACATATATAAATCACCCAGAAAAAAGGTTATAGTGGAACATGCTTACTCAGATGCAATTCATTTCTATGGGACATAGAACAAAACAGGTACGAATTATCTTGAAACACTGATAGGTTCTGAGTAAAAGTCTTTTGAATATCAAATCTAAATCTAACTTCAGCACGGCAATGTTAACTAGTTCAAAAAACTTACTCACAGCCTTAAAGCATTTGTGTTGCTAGGCATTTTAATAGCTTACCTAATGAGCAGTCTTCGCCATAAAAGCCTTCTTCACAGATGCACTGGCCATCCACACACTGGCCGTTACCAATGCAGTCGTTGGGACACTTCTGGATGCTGCAATCCTCGCCGGTGAAGTTTGGGAAACACACACATTTGCCATCCACACATTGCCCTTTGTCGTTGCAATCGTCTGGACATATCAGCTGGCTACAGTCCTCGCCTGTGTAGCCCTGAAGGCACACACACTTCCCATCCACACATCGACCGTTGTCATTGCACTCGTCAGGGCAGGAGGACACGGAGCAGTCTGGGCCTTCCCACCCTGGGTTACAGAGGCAGCTGCAGGTCTCCGGTTGGTAGGTACCATGCCCACTACAGCTCGTGTCCACTCCTTGAGAAAGAGAAGAGTAATAAAAAAGTATACATCTAAGTAGGCTACATTTATCCTCAATAACTGTACTTAAAGCTTTTTGTTACATTTGTTGAAAGATATTTTACATCCTGACAACAATCAACAAATCAGATCCTCCTAAGAACTATGTAGGCCGAAAAAACTCTTAGTATTACTTATGTAAAATCTTGAATGCAGGAATTTACTTATTTCTATAATGGTAATGGTACTTTTACTTAAGGTAGTGAGTATACTTCTTCCTCCATGGACTATAGCTGTGGGTCAATATTTTTAGGTTGTGGACCTTTTGCATACAGTCTCTGGATGTGGCACTGCTTACCTGCAGCTCCACCACCTCCACAACATCCCTGGGTACAGGCAGTCTTTAGGTAGGTGACTTCTTCCTCCAGCCCATTGACTCTGTACAAAAGTGACTTGAAGCTTTCAGAATCCTCACAGTCACACTTTGGTGTCTGCAGCCTGATGTTGTGTCTGAAGGTGATGTCGTTCTCCCCATTAGAAGTGGTCTCAGTCTGCAGACCTACAGACGAACATATATTCAATACTTTAGATATTACTTTTGGTCACAATCCTCACACACAATGATACGGTTTATTTAGCATAATATCCATTTCTGGATTAAATATCTATATAGCCATCATGTGCTACTGACAACAATGAAAGTGGAAAAAAAGATACCTAAAAAGGTCAACCTAAACTTTTACGTAATTTCCACCTAAGTGTGAGGTACAGTAATGCGGGTAGTCTGACCTATATAAAATTACAAAAATAAAACATATTGTTTCCCAATGAAATCCATATCCTTGTGTTGAAAGTGTTTAGGTTCTTATTGTATTTCTTACAAAAACAGTTTCTTCAGCTCTTGTTTTTTACAGACTTTCATCCAATTCACTTATCTTTCTGCATACACACTCATACACCACTCATGGTCTTTCAGTAATTATTCTCAGTTGCATACTTTCTCGCTCTAATTCTTATTATTGTTTATGACCTGCTTCGTCCTGGGCTGGCAGGCTCTCAAGTTTACAACTGGAAGTCCCAGGGATGTCAATTTTATAGACGTGGCTGAAGGTGACCCCTTGCTCTGGAGCTGAGGGGCCGGGGTGGCGAGTGGCGGAGCTGAAGTGTGACACAGTGCAGAGCGTCACCAGCAGGCACAGGGCCCGCCACAGGAGACTGGAAGTCATGGCTAGAGGACGAGATAAGAGCATTCAAAATGTTAGTTTTTCACATCTATCTATTTTTTAGTTGTTGTTGCATTCTACAAGAGAAATTATACGCATACCATCAATTAGGGAACCTCTTTGTAATGCATATATAGGTGTGCTGTTGTCTTACACAACAGAAACAACAATAGAATGAAAACTAAACTCCTCACTGCTGAATTCATTTGAAACTACACATAAGATTCTCAAACATTGGGACCTAACACAATTCTTGATACACTTATGAAATATATATCACATCTGTTTTTTCCAGCAAGATAATATACCTCAAAGAGATTGGATCTATGGCATAGACTTCTGAAACTGTAGATGTTAGTCATTACAGCAGTTTGAATCTGAGTCTACGGGTTGAAAGAGGGTCACATTTGTGCTTTCCAGACGGTGTTTGGAGAGCGGAGGACTTAAATACTATCTCTACAATGCAGAAGTTATATTACATTTAGTGAGGCATGCTGATATATATTTAATTTCAGGCAAGCTGAACCATTGTGTCACTGTGGTGTGTGTGTGTGTGTGTGTGTGTGTGTGTGTGTGTGTGTGTGTGTGTGTGTGTGTGTGTGTGTGTGTGTGTGTGTGAGTGTGTTCTGCCCCTCATTCCACAGCATGGCAGCAGTCAGTGAGCAGTCATCACTTTGCCAAAGATCGCTCAGAGATTTGCTCCAAACTATAAATTGTGCTCAGTCAGGCGTTGCAGAGCCTCAGAAACGTGCCCTCAGTGATGATGTCGTTGTGTCTAATGACAGTGATGTCATGTGAACCTAAAACCTAGCAGCACCAATATGCCTTCCCGGAAAGCAAAATTACATGTTTCAAAATAGTATATTTTTAAGGACTTTGATCTTTATTTAACACTCTGATGTAAAAGTTTGAATTGCTGCAGAATAAACTTTTGATCTAACTTTGCTGAGTGTGTGTGGTCTATGGAAACACAAACCCTCTAATGAGTGACAGTAAAAGAAAGCACAGTAATGAAATGTTGTGGGTCCTGCTGTGTTGTTTGACAGCTAGAAAACCACACTGCTATATTATATCTTTATATTATAAATACATTGGATTTGTTTCAAATGACACAGGATTATTCAATGGAATATGCATGCTCTGCAAAACCCAAGAGTTTAAACAATACTACACACATACTGTATAACCAAAAAAGACAGCAATAGGAAAGAGAGACAGAAAAGTGTTACCCCAGACTTTACAAGCATGACATTGTGATTAAAAATATCATTGTTATTTTGAGCTAAGAATGATTTAGTGGGAACTATAAAATATTTAAGTAATTTAGCTAAATTATGCTGATTTTTGATACAGGTTAAGCGCAACTCTGACTGGGAGACATCAACCCGTAGGAAACCTAAACATGTGCCCCTTGAGCATCAAAGACTAAAACAGATGGAAAAGTAGAAAATGAGCAGAGAGAGAAACAGATCCTACAATTCCCCCAAGACATAGGGAAGCTTTGCCAGAAAATTAAAATGTCAACAAGTAGATCTAAATCCTGCCAATCCTCCAATGATACCATTGTCAGATTAAGTTAGACTCTGAGTGGTTGAGAAAACCTGAACCTTTGAATATGTAAGAGATGGAAAGGTACTTCACTTACTCAATTGGACTCAATTTGTTTTTAGTATAATCTTTGGCTTACTGCATAAATCCTTCCTCCGATGATTGACACAGGTTGTAACTCAAGTAGTTCTGTTTAAAAAGTATCTAGTCTTTTAAATAGACATGTAATTACCATGACCTTTTCTTTTTATGTCTCAAAATGCAATACAGCTGAACTTGTTATTCTATTTTATTTTATTGCTGCTGGTCAAAAAGTTGAGGTTAGAGACTGGTGCCTGCAAGAAATTCAAGCTATGACATCACTGGGAAAATACTTTTATGACCCAATGTGAGGACCACATCTTTAGTGGATGTTTCATCAATGACCAAGACTTTGGAGGGCAAACCAGCGATGAGGTAAAAGAGATATTAAGAGAAGGAAATATAAAAAAAACACATAGATTTAGAGAGATTTAGTGACTGAGAGTGAATAGGTAAGAGAGGGAATGATGAAGAGAGTGCGTTTGAGTCAGTGACAGTCTAGCACAGCGGTTCCCAACCTTTTTCAACTCGGGGCCCACTTGAGAATCACAAATGTTTTCGCGGCCCACATTCAACCATAAACAATACAGAGGCTAAATAAAGTTCTGATTGGTCGATTCAGAACATGTGACACGTTGTAAATCCAGTATAACAGACCGCTGTCAAGGACTGTAATAACCGTTGCTAAGGATGATCAAGAAACAGAAAGGAAAAGAGGTTAAAAAAAAAAAAAATCTTAACAATGAAAATGTTTCCACACAAATCATAATGTTTTGAAAATTATTTGGCGGCAAATATTGAATTTACATTTACACCCTTCGATATTTTATTTGGGCTTTTAGATGAATACCGCACACAGTTAATAAATACAACTATTCTTCTGGCTAAAATATATATTTTTAAAAGTCAGTAAGGAGTAATCTTAATTGAAGGTGTTTGAAGAGTAGATTCAAAATACAAATTATTTTGAAAAAAATTATTTCCACAAAAAATAAAAGGCTCATCACACCATGAAATGGGAAATAATTAGCTCTAACGAAGAGTGGGATTAAAGGAACAATAAATATGCGATGTTGTGTTTTTGGTGGTTTTTGGATGTCAACCTATTTTTGTTTGTAAAAGGTTGAAGTGATCCTACTGAGTGTATCTTTATTTCTTCTGTGTTTGTCTGAGATGGGAATTTCATCTCCTATATGTTATTTTTATGTCCATGTTTGTATCTTTAGCCTGTACAAAATAAAAAATGTAAATTAAATAAATAAATAATAATAATTTGGCGGCCCACTTGCAATGCCTTCGCGGACCACTAGGGGGTCGCGGCACACAGGTTGGGAACCGTTGGTCTAGCCACGTTAGCCATGAGGAATGGCACTGAGAACTGGCGCATTGAGATGCTTAACAAGCATGTTTATAGCTCCCTGTCAAGGTTTTTATTTGATGCTTGCCATTTTCAGACCCTTTCCTTATTTCTTTTGGAAGAGACAGCACTGTGACCTTCCAAGCATAGCAGAAGGCCACTACTGAGTACTAAGAATGTCCCGGTGTTGGGAAAGAGAGACAGATGGAGGGATTAATGGAGAGAGGAAATGGGGGAATAGAGAAGAAGGTGGGGCAGTCACATTTGAGAGTTACTGCCAGAGAGATATGGAGGGTTTGCTGGACGATTAAGTAGAAAAATTGTTGGTTTGATGGATGGATGGATGGACGGATGGATCGATGGAATCGATTGAATAGTTATATCCTCTAGTAGAGTATGGGTTTTACATGAAATACTAAAATACTGGATGGATGGAGCACATACTGGGTATTCTCCAATCCACCAGTAACAAAAAGATGTTGAACTCAGGTTTGGAATCAAATTCACAGTTCATGATCTAAAAGTAGTTGACTGTGATGAGTCACTGTAAATCAATACGCGAAACAGGAAGATAGAATCGCTTCAGTCCACTGGACACTCTCACTCAGCACACGGCCATCCAGATAGCTTTTCAGCCTGCCTTTCAAACCCTCAAGTAAAATTCAACATGTCCATAAAGTTAAAAATTCCTTCCTGACAATAACTTCTCCAAGTCAAAGCAAAGCTATGTCAATGGGCCTGTAAAATGTGTGTTCACTACCTGTGATGTGTATTCACTCTTTTATATGGAAGAAAGACGTGCATGGGACTCTGACCATACACTGCGTGTAAAACATGTTATTTATAGCTTACGGAGACATGGGGGATTGCCTCTACATGTATTGTAACAACAGCACTTTAATCACCAGGAGACAATGCTGTCTGGATCCACAGACTCCTTTCAGTGAAGGCTTTTGTCAAGTTGCATTTGTGTTTCTAGAAACTAGATATTCCCTTTAGAGTTTTGAAAACAGTGAATGCGCTTAACATTGGGTTGAGATAAACAGGGATATGGAGTGGAGGACAACAGGTGAAAGATGAATGAACAGCTTTATAAAAAACTTGTATTGGGAATACAGATACACACAAAAAGAGATATTCAAAAGACCCTATCCTCTCTAAAGAGTCATTAAGCTTCAGACAGAAGGGAGACTGTTTGGCCAGGTCTCAACTCAAGACCAGTCTCATTAGGCCAAACCAAAAGCCTAAGGAGAGAAGAAGGGAGGGTTTAAATAGACCAGCAGCTAGGTCCTGCATTTATGTGCGGTCACAAACTTGTAGACGTTCCTTTTCCCTTCCTTTCCTCTCCACAGCTTGCAGACAGAAAGGGGGAAATGAATAAAACGAAGCTGAAAGCAATTATCGTCTGAGAGCAAAGCTCATATCTTCACGATACTGTCGGCGTCCCGCTGCCTTACTGGCCACAAGTAGACCTTGATAAGGCCTTGGCTTCATCAGAAACACTGAGGATTCAATCCGCTTAGTGGGGCAGTCAGATGAAAACCTAACCAACTGAGCAGAAAGAAAAATAACATAACCCGAGCATTAATAAAACCTGAGTCTAAGTTCTGAAAGAGATACGTTTTTGAAATAATAAAAATGTGTTTTGAGTAGCTTTCATGTGCCCAGGGGACATTTTCAATCAGTGAAAGTTAATGAAAGAAACTGGAGTTGTGAGGTTTTCATGAAAGCAGTCACGTTATGCAATATGAACACTTTTTTTAGAGTGTGGGTCTCTCTCTCTCTCTCTCTCTCTCTCTCTCTCTCTCTCTCTCTCTCTCTCTCTCTCTCTCTCCCTTCTGCATGCGTCCCTCTTTCTATCGTTTTGCATGGCTGAGGGCCCACATCTGTAGCTCATTTTTCTGAGGGCTTCTGTGTATCCCCTGAGCCAGCACAGTAGCATTAAAGGTAAATCTACTGGATCGACAGCCCTGTGAGAATATCTATCACCCCTGCACATAGTTATTATAAATATTGATGTTATTTTCACAGAAGAGAATTAGTGCTGGCAGCTATGTTGACATATAATTTAGGATTATCTACAACAATGGGGAACTGGATTTACAAATCATAAATAATAACTTGGGTATATTCTTTGCAGCAATAAAGGCATACAGCAGCTCTGAAGGGAAAAACTCTGATTTTTTCAATTGTTTAAACATTTACAAAATCTCAAACTATAAAAACAAAATTCCTGCCTTAAAAATGTTACCTAGGGAAAATGTTCAGTTTAATATTAATATAAAACTGGATGCTTTTTGTAAGATTTAGTGCTTTAATGTACAGGTTAAGCTAAATGTAATTGTTTTATAATGTGAGATAGTTAAATGTATAACAATGCATATTTTTTACGTAATAGTTATTTGTTTTAGATAACATTTTCATTTTTAAAGTAACTGGTAACAACATTTTCGAACAGTATTTGGATAGTAGAATGAAATTAATTATTAAGTATATGTACCACACATTTGTACTTCAGCAAATCAGCTCTACTTTCCTCCTCAGGACATTATACAGCACTTTCATTGGATTTTATAAATGCAGAAAGACATGTCTGAACAACTTCAGAACACTTCAATGCTCATATTACTTCATATCAGTGTGCCAAACCCCATCACATCAATATTCATCACTGACCAAGATTTCCACTACTTTCTTGTTGCCATGCAAAACAAACTAACAGAGGAACCGCTTCGGTCGAGGGACACTTCATAAATTCCAGGTGTCAAGTTAAACTGTAAAATGCCATGCAACTTTAGTCAAGGTTCACATGAAAGGCTGCATGTGGACTGTTTAACCGAAGTCCTACCATCCATCTGATTATAGACTGGTAGATGTAGAAAAAGAGGTGAGACAACTAGAGAGTTTAGATGGATGGAGAAGAAGAAAAGGAGATGGGACAGGAAGAAAAGCTGAAAAATAGCTTGTTTAAACTCCAATTCAATGTCCATTTGGTTGAGAATGTTTAAAACAACACTAACAATAACTTTGATATATAGTAAGATAGAGAACCAAAAGATTAAACACATAATGGAGCCCTTTGGGATGATGTAGAATTGTCCAAGAGCATAACAAAAATAACAACTTTAAATTAACAGCATCTTTTTTTCTGTTGATAAAGAATAGCTAAATGTAATCATCTATATTAAAACGATTTAGTCTGAACCAGAAACACACCTACAGGTTAATGACACTAACAAATGCCACTAAACTAAATCCCTTACAAAAAAATCACATATTGAGGACAGACATTAAGTTGCATGCTTAAATCAATATGGATGACAGAGAAGGCTAATATGAAAATGCTGCCTTACCCTTGAGAGTTTTCTTTAACTTTCTCCTCCTTTACTCTCTTCCTTTCTCCCCTTTTGTCTGAAGGACTGAGCGTCACAAAGCCTCTCCCTCTGCCACCTGTTGACAGCCCTGGGCCAATGATTCAAAAACCTCCACACTGCCACTGACTTTTGCTCTCTCCCTCCCTCCCTCCTCAATTGCTAAAATCTGTCCCTAATGCCTATAGGCCAATGGGTAGTTAGTTTGGGAGGGTCTCCTCTCCTCAAGTGATTGAAGAAAATGGAGAGGAATAGGAGGAGGAGCACAGACAATGCTCTTAATACTTTTTCCCCCTGTGGGTTAATCATGCCTCTTACCTTGCTCATTCATCATATCAACACCTTAGTCTATTTTAATAATTTATTTTAATCGTTTCCCCTGCCTGTATGCGTTTGGTTTCTGTAGCAGGGGAGGTTGATATGAATCACTTTAGCAGGAGGAGTGTGGGGACTTCAACGTTCAAAGTTGGATTCAAGGGAGCAAGATGGAAGCCAAAGTAAATGTTGCATAAGGGTAGAAGGAACCACAGGGGAGAGGGTTTTGATACAAAGAAATACATTTTTAAAAGTCTATAAAAACTCTTACAATAAAGGGCACATTTATAGTGAATTACATGACTACAACTGACAACCTGTAGATATTTGAAAGAGCAAAAAACACTACCGGAATGAGCTTCCTGCATTGGAAATTGTGATAATAATCGGTTCTTTTGAGCATTTATTATTATTGGTTTGATGATTGGCAGTAAGACAACTAAAAGTCTTGATTTGATTTTACATTTACAGACTTTTCTCTCCAAAATGTTCCTCCTTCTGTGAAAACAGACCTCCACCAAGCATGCTTTGAGGACACATGGCAGGATAAGTCCTTCAAGCCGACAGAAAACCCACACAATCCCCTCAGACTGCATTATGGTCACTTTAAAGTTACAAAGAAAACGTTTCAGTTTGAATTTCTGGTAATGTATATATGTTCTGAAATGTTAAAGTAGGCCGACAACTAAGCTCATGCATACAAAAAGATCACAAACATCTGCATGTTCCACCCTGACCATCACCAAAGACCCCAGGTGTCAAGGTTGGCAATACTTTACACTGACAGCGGCTGTTTGTCTCTAAATATAAAAGTAAGGGTTCGAATTCCTGTGGGAACCAAGAGGACGGTGGGATTGCCCAAGTGAAACTGGAGCTGAGGGGCCTCGTGTTGTTGTTTGTAAAGAAAACACCGCTTAAATGTTTAGTTGCATTCTTTTAAATGTTGGACAACTAAAGGTGTTTGATGAATCTGTCTTTGGCCATTATCTGATAAGATGCTTAGCCCCATAGCATAGCATTCAGTGCACAGGAAAAATAAGTTAAAAATAAAACTAATACTGAGATCAGGTTCAGGTTCAGGTTCAGGTTCTTCATTTGTACCCGTACGTAGATTTAGTTTGCAGAGAAAAAGACAAGGGATCCATCCTGACACACTCTAAAAACAAACATAAACAACAGACACATCTCTAATAAAAGGACAAGTAAAAAGTACACCCTGTTCAGTCAAATCTCAAAATATTTCAAAAACATTTAAGAAGGAAAACACTAGTACAAACATGGACATTCAAAATTCATAATTAAATAAATAAATAGGCATCTGTGTGAGACTCCTATGATTTGTTAATTTGTGCAATAGCTGCTGGGATAAAAGTGTTTTTATACCGCTTCGTTCTACTCTTTGGGACATTTTACCTCCTGTCCGAAGGAAAAAGTTTTGAGCTTTGAGCTTCTGAGTGCAGAGGGTGGGAGTCATCATCTAATATGGAGCTGGATAACCGCTGTAACTGCCTGAGGTACAGGGTCTCCAGGTTTAGCTGTGGCTCACCAATCAGTCTGCTGGACCACTTTACGATCTGACTCAGAGAGTTTCTGCTCTTTAAAGTCAAGTTACCAAACCATGACATTAAGGAAGAAGACAGAATTGACTCGATAAAAGCACGAAAAAACATTATCATCATGGTTTTGTCAACAGTTTCCTAAGACAGTACAAACGCTGGTGCCCCCTTTGGCGCACACCTTCACAGTGTGGATCAGAGCTAAATTTTGAGTCAATAATTGTCCCGAGATATTTGTATGATTGCACAAATACTACTCTCTGATTCGCGATTTTTAAGACTTCATGTATGTGGGGATGTCTTCTAAAATCAATGATCATGTCCTTGGTTTTGCTTATGTTCAGTTGTAGATAGGACTCCTCACACCACCTGATAAAGTCATCAATGACAGGGCCGTGGCTGGTCTCATTGTCCTGGAGCCTATTAACAATTACAGAGTCATCTGCATACTTTAAAATAGTCCTATTTTCCCACCTACTTTGACACATATTAGTGTGAAGTATAAATAATAGTGGCGAAAGGACACATCCAGATAAGGTCCCATTCACCCTCACTCTTTGTGTCCTATTGGTTAAAAAATCAAGAATCTAGCCCATAAGATTATTGTTTATTTCAAATGTTCTAAAAGTCTGCCAATTAAAATATGAGGTTGAATTGTGTTAAAAGCAGAGGAAAAATCAACAAATAAAAGTCTAGCTTGAGATCCATTTCCCTCCAAGTGTTTAAAAAGTAAGTTAAGTAAGGTGACCGTGGCATCCTCTACTCCTCTGTGTGGCCTGTAAGCAAACTGCATGGGATCGAGTGCATGCTCAGGATTTCTGCTTTGACTAGTTTTTCCCATGTCTTCATTAGAATTGATGTAAGTGCAACTGGTCTAAAATCATTAAGAGTTTTGGGGCCTCTGGATTTGGGAACAAGGACTACCACAGCATCCTTCCAAACCCTTTGGTACATGCTGTGTCTGTAAAGACCTATTAAAAATGTAGTGGAACACTGGGCTAAGTTATTTTGCCTAGGTCCATGACTTTATTTTTACTAAATGGAAGGCCTTTTCCACTTCCCTCTGGTCTATATTAAAATGCTTATTGTCTTCAAGTTCAAGCTTCAGTTCAGATATATTATTACTGAAATCAAATGTGTCAAATCGAGAGAAAAAATGATTTAGGGCATTTGCAAACTCAACATCTGAATTAAAGCCATC